GCATTTCTAGGTCCCCTCCAGCCCCCTATGCATGGCTGACTTAGGCTGCTTCACTGGTTCCCACTCTCCTCACTCTGGCCTTGACCACTCTGGCCACTTGTCAGGAATGCTCCCATAGCCCGGACCAGTCCTCCACTGCCCTTGGTTAAAGGCCTGGCTGGGCCTCACCTCCCCTGACCACTGGAACGCATGTGAATCTCTTTTTCTCTGACCTCCTACCCAGAGTGTGCATCTTGTACTCTGTTACCTTCCCTCCGGGACACTGTAACCTTCAGCAAACTCCCTTCTCTGTGTTCCAAGGGCCCTTCCAGGCCTGACATCATGTGTTCTGAGGGTCCTCCTATCTGACGTTCTCTGTTCTAAGAGTCCTCCCAGCCCTGATGTCCTGTGTTCTAAGGACCCTCCCAGCTCTGACATCCTGTGTTCTAAGGGCCCTCTTTGTACTGAGTCTATGATTCTCTAATTCTACGGTTCTTTACCTTCTTGTGTGTCCTGGACAGCTTTGGCCATCTGACGAAAGGCTGAGAACCCCATGCTGGGATCATTTTGGGTTTTTTTAAAAAATCACAATTGAGGGAAATGCTAAATTTTCAGTGAGAAGTCAGTGAGTTCATGGGCCCTGTGAAGTTTCTTCTTGGACTTCAGGTTGGGAGCCTCTGTTCTATAAAAATTCAATGTTCAATAAACTCTAGAACACAAACCACTGGGGGAGGGGTTCTCCCCTCCCTAACTGCTGGGAAACCTCCACTTGGACCTGCTGGAAACCTGGAGGGCAGCTCGGTAGAAATTAGGTTTGGGCCAGCTGACCACAATAAGTTCCAAATGGACACTTGATCTAAATAGAACAGGTGACATCATTTGAAACAACGGCAGCGCTAGGGGAGCCTGGCTGGAACCTTTCACATACGTGGGTGGGGGAGAATTCTTCACAAAGCTCTCACCCTGCTTCTGGGAAGGCTCACGGAGCTCAGGGCCAGCTTCCTTGTTACTTAGATGCCACTTCCCTGAAGGGGCTCGATGCCCATCCGAGCATCTGTAGACGCAGCCCTGCCTCCCAGTCCAGAGCTGGGGCCATGAAATACTTCATGTTCAATTCACCTTTTTTGTTGTTGTTGTTGTCGTGCTGTTTGTTTTTGGTGAGGCAATCGGGGTTAAGTGACTTACCCAGGGTCACACAGCTAGTAAGTGCCAAGTGTCTGAGGCCAGATTTAAACTCAGGACTCCTGACTCCACTGCGCCACCTAGGCACCCCTCAATTCAGCATTCTTACTAAATGTCTTGTGGCTTGTTTTTTGTTTTCAAAGAGGACCAGTGACATCACAGGGTGATGTCTTGACTCAGGCAAGAATTGGATTTCAGTGAGGCAGAGCTGCTCAAAGTCACTCTCTCTTCCAAAGGCACCGAAGTCCAGTGGCAGGACAGAAGTCAAGACAACCGGCCGTGACCCGGGATGCAGCGGATGACCTTGGTGTCTTTGATGCCGGGCCAAGCTCTAAGACCCCACGGCTCCTGCTTCCGCTGCCTTCATGTTCATTGAGACAACTTGTTCTCATCCACCCGCTCCACTGGGAAAAGTCCTCACATGCTTGGGGTCGACACCCCCCTAACTCCTATAAGTCAGTACAGAAAAGAGATGTTTGACCTATGTTCTGACTCTAGGCCTTGCACTCTAGTACGACTGGGGAGGGGACATAGCAGGGGACACAGATAAAATAGTATATAGGGTAGGGGGTGAGTGAGGTGGGGAAAGGTGACATTCAGCGCAAGTGCTCTAGAAAAGCTTCAGCAGGGAGGAGACAGATACTTTGGCTTGGGAAAACCAAGGAAGGCTTCATGGAAGAGGCAGCACCTGAGCTAAGCCTTAAAGAAAGAGAAAGAATTTTAAAGACAGAGATGAGGAGACAGCAAGAGGGAAAGGGAGATGACCTGAGTAAATACCCCCAGATGGGAGGGGGTGGAATGATGTCGGACAACAGCCTGTAGTCTAGTTTGGCTGGACTGAAGAGTGGAAAATAGCACTGGAAAGGCAGGTTGGTACCCAAGTATGTAGGGCCTCAAATGCCAGGCCTGTGAGTAAGGCAGGGTAGAATCACAGAGTCTGACAGCCGGGCAGGAACCTCGGGCTGGCTGGCCTGACCCATCCTTGAACAAGAATCCCCCCCTCCAACCTATCTGACTAGTGGTCATCTGGTCTCTGCCAAAAGGTGGCCAGCGTGGGCCTTGGGGAGGCAGCCCCTTCTACTCCTGGAGAGCTCTGACTCGTTGGAAGTCTCTTCAGACAGTAAGCCTCAGTTGGTTTCTTTGCATCTGTCCCCTGTTTCTAGTTGTTTCCTCCTCTGGGGCCAAGCAGAATAAAGCGAATCCCTCTTCCACAAGACAATCCCAATCAAATACTGTCATGTCTCTTCTCCAGGCTAAACGCCCCCTGTCCCTTCCACTTCTACCTATGTGCCATGACCTCCAGGCCCTTTACTGGCCTGATTGCCTTCCCCTCAGATACTCTTCAATGGGGATTGTTACACACGTTAATATTTACACAGCACCTACTATGTGCTAAGCACTTTACAAATGTTATCTCAGTTTGATCCTTACGACAACCTTGGGAAGTCAGTGCTATTATTATCCTTGTTTTACAGATAGGGAAACTGAGACAGACAAAGGTAAAGTGACTTGCCCAGGGTCAATAAATGTCTGAGTCTGGATTTGAATTTAGGTCTTCCTTACTCCAAGCCCAGTACTCTATCCACTGGACCACCTTGTTGCCCTAGCTCTTTGACAGGAGGCTGAGACAGAGGTTAGGGGACATGCCCAAGGGATAGAGCAGGTTGTTGGTAAAGCTGAAGGGGCTTCGGAAGTCTGTAGCCCCACCTCCCACGGCACATAGGTATCCCCTCTCCAGCTTCCTGGTTGGGGTCTTTATACCTCCAGGAATGGGGGAATTCCCTATTTCTCCAGGCATACCAGAAGTCTGGAACCCATATTTCCTGATGTCAGATCTGGTGTTTGCTCTACAGTGCCCTAGGGAGGTGGTCACCTTCAAATTATATTGACCCCTGTAGAATAGCAGATGTTACAGCTGTCTCAGGGACAGTCCCAGGCCTTTAAAAAACCTCAAATTCCATGCTTTTGAGATGGAGGGGACTGTAGGCATCATTTAGACCCTTATCCTTGGGCCTCAGTTTCCCTATCTGTTGAATGAGGATAATACCAGTAACACCACTCTCACAGGGATTTTAGGAGGCTCATGTGACCCTCACACTCGTACTTGGTAAAGCTTCCAGATCCACAGAAGAGTCAACAACAGTCATTTCCGTTGCGGTGGGGAGATGCTGGGGGGCCAGGGTTCCCGGGGTGCTGGTACAGGCTGAACCAGCATCTCCCCCCCTGCACTCCTGCCAGAGGCTAACGGCCGTACTGTATCTGAACTGGGGCGGCTTTGTGTCCCAGGAACAGCTGGGCAGGCATTTCCTGTGTACAAGCAGGCCCTGTTCCTCTGAGAAGCTGGCCCTTAGCTCTACCCAGAGGGCCCAGTAGGGGAAGGGGGGGAGAAACCTCGTGACAGGGATCAGGTCTCTGTCCTCCTCTCCCCAACCTTCCCCTGGTTGGACGAAGAAACTGACACCCAGAAACCTACAGGCCTACTCAGACTCTGTGTGTCTGGCTCCCTTGGGAAAAGGAGGGTGGGAGCAGAGAATTTCTATTAAAAGCAGGAAAGAAAGGCAGAGGTGGAGAGTGACCTCAGAACCCAGAACGTCAACAGTGCAAGGGACCTTTGGACTTGGCTTTCACAGATCTGAGGAACCGATGAGATCATTTATTTTTTTTAAACCAGGGGTAAACTGAGGCCCAGAAAGGGGAGGTAACCTATGCAAGGTCACACAGCAAATTACCAGCTGAGCCTAAAATACTGGCTTTCTATCTCTCAGACCACAGCTCTTTTCTATACTTGTCAGGACAAGAGAAGACAGCTATCCCTTGTCTGTAGGCAAGAGGCCAAATAATCCTTTCAATCCAATCCACATTTACTAACCCTTCCTACCGGCCTAACTCCTGTCATTCTTCCTCCCTGATTCCTCCAAGGTGGGATGCAGAGCCAGGTTCTTCACTGAAAAGTGGTCAAGGGGCAGTGTGAAGGGAGCAGGCCTCATTGGCAGGCTCTGAAAACAGACTGGCTGTGTGACCTCAGGGGATTCACAACCTCTCTGAGTCCTTTCTTTCCACATCAGAAACTTTCCCGGGGTTGTTGCTAGGGAAGGGATTTGTAGAAAGATGAAAGAATCCCACAGATTTTGTCCAATTGCTAAATAAGCCTGTGGTCCAAGGGTGTGATGGAGTCTTACTGGGCCTTCAGAAATGAACTGGGAGGAAATTTAGAGAATTCTGGCTCGTCTGGGAGGATTTCATTGGATGCAGTAAGGGAGGCAAAAGCAGAGAAATGACTCCTAGAATGGAAACCTGCCTGTGCTGTAATTGAGGTGGGACCTGGTCCTGAAGAGAAGCACCTGGCACCTTTGTTCGCAGAGGTGGGGGGCTATGGGTGCAAAACAGTGCATGTGCTTGGAGGACCAATCTATGACTTGGGTAGTTATACTGAACTGCTTCTGCTCCTCCTGTGGTATCAAAGGATGGCTATTTTTGGAAAAGAGGGTGATGTCAAAGTAAAAAAGTAGTTGTAATTTAAAAAAATCCACCTCTAAACTGATCCACTCCGAGCAAATTGAAACATCCTTCTTTCACTTTGGTTTTTGCCACGTGGCTAATATGGAAATAAGTTTTGCATGAGTTCACATGGATAATGGGTATCGTGTTGCTTGCCTTCTCAATGGGTGGGGGAGGAGCTGGAGGGAGGGAGAATTTGGAACTCAAAATTTAAAAAAAAAGGGATTTTTAAAATAGAGAAACCCACCTTCAAATCCTATTACCTTAGGGGACTTTAGAAAGGTTAACTATTATTCAGGTAAGTTGCTTTAGGGGTGAAACAGAGAAAACCAACATCCATCTCAGTAGAAAGCACGGTATTCACTTTTATTTATTTTCAAACAAAAAACTGTACAAAAAGAGGAGCCTCCCCGAATGTTCTTTGATTTCATCAAAACCACAGTGCTGATCAGCATGTTTGCAGCCAAGGCCAAGCGGATACTTGCTCATGAAAGGAAGGAGCTAGCCTAGCATGCATTGCTTAGCTTTGAGCTGGGCACTGTGGTGGGCTCTGGAAGGGGAAGGCTTCTGTTGCCAGAGGCCCGGGTGGGGGGCATCTGTGGACTAGAGACCCCTTGGTCCCTCCCAGCTTTAGCACCAGCTTCAGAAGGGCCGTCCAGCCCACGGCCATGCCCACTTTTAGCACCCACGGGCCATCCCTCATAAAGCTCTGCCCCCTCATTCACCCCTAACTCCATCCATCCCCCTTCCCCAGGCTCAGCTTGTAGGGCCAGCCCCATAAGCTCCTGCTGCCTTGGCCCACCCACTCCATGGCCAAGCCCAGCATTCTCAGGTGTCTGGTTGGGAAAGGGATAGCTTTTTCTTGGTCCAAAATGAGGCAGTCTGTAGGCAAAGGCCCCAGCCTGTGGATGAGAGGGCCCCAGCCTCTAGGGGTGGTTCTCCCGTGTGTGGCCAAGCCATAGCTTCTCTTTGAACCCCTCCAGGGGCTTCACCTCTGCAATCTTCCAATGAAGGCACAGGGGCAGAAATACTCTCCCATTTCCAAGCCAAAGAAGTTTAGAGTAGTCTCCAGAAAGAACAAAATGGCCTCCCGTCAGCGACCATCTTCACCCAAAAGCAGCTTGGGGCTGGAAAAGAGGGGGACTCAGCAGCTGAATCCTAAAGTCATGGGGAGCAGACTCCCCGTGCCCCCGCCATCGCCACCAAAGCCTCAGGAGCGCGTTCGAGCTGCCTGCTCTCCCTTAGGGCGGATCAGAGGGCCTCCTTGGCCTCACTCCAGCTGGGATGCCCTTTATCGGATCCCAGGAGCTGGTTCTGGTCAGAATCAAAGCCACTGCCTCTGGGCTTCAACATGTCATGCATCGCCGACGAATGGTCTGCAAGGGAGGGTTCGGATCCACCTGTAAGGAAAGTGAGAGTCAGGAGTGCCCTGGGCGTCCCCGGGGACCCTGAGGTCCACCCCCGACAGCCCAAACCACTTGTGGCAGGCCGTGGCCTTGTAGCACACAAGGAGGCATGCTTTTGGACCCGGCCAAGGTGGGAATCTGTTTTGTTAGGACTTTACTTTATGTTTTTCTTTCTCCAATGGATAGAAGTGAGAGAAAATAGATTTTTATTTTTCTAGAAATTTGATTAAAAAAGCCCACCCACTCCTACATGGGAGGGCAAATCCAGGTGGAATGGATGTGGGAGGCAGGAAGAGAGGAAAAATGACCCTGCCCTAGTTCTGACAATCCCCCTCCCCCAACTGAGGGATCTTCAGTGAACGAACCCCAGCAAAGGGAAATTTCCCAAAGAAAATCCTCCCAAGGTCCCACCCCCAAAGCCAAGAAAAGCGGCTGGCTGACCTCAGAGTACAGGGGAGGTGGACGGTAGCGGAACTCCTGGATGTAGGCAAAGAAAGGGCCCTCCGGGGCCTGGCTGCTCCTGGACTCTTGGGGTGGTGGCGAGAGGCTTGGGCCTGTCTCCTCAGACACCACGTCGGAGTACTCTGGGGGAGCTGGGGAGGCAGTGAGGCCAAAGTGGAAGTGTCCCTCGGCTCCAGAGGCCCACGTCTGCCCCCTCTTTCATCCTGGCTTGGTCCTGCTCACTGAGAAGGCCCTCCCACCTGCCTGAGCCTTCCCATCCCACTCTCAGCAGGGAAGTGGAGGTCATGGGCTAACAGAGAGGTGGAAGAAGGGATCTCGGGGGCCTGACCTCAGCCCCTGCCTGGTTCTCAGGCATTTGGACTCTCATTTTAACGGCAGTAAAAAATGTGGGCACAGAAGCGAGGCGTCCACCCACACAAGTCAGTGCTGAGCCCAGATGTGGATGGAAGCCAGCAGCAGAGTGGACAGCTTGGTGCCTCAGAAAGGGCCCCAGGGCCTGGGGAGTCGGGGGGGGGCCTGGGGCCTAGTCCTAGTTCTGCAAGTCATGGCCCTTCTCTGGACCTCAGTCTGCATATCCCAGGGCACCAGCCCGGATGACCCCTGAAGGTCCCTCAGCTGGTGTGGGCTCACAGACTCACCTTCGGGCTGCTCGGAGATGGCCATATGCAGCCAGTCCAGGTTGACGCTATACTGGCTACCTACGCTGGATGTCCGGCTGCCAAACGGATGCAGCGGGATGGTTCCAATGACAAGGGGCAGCTCCAGGAGCAACTTGGATGTGCCTGGGATGTCCACACAGACCTGGGAAGGAATCGAGGAGCAGAGGGGTTGGGAGCAAGGAAGGCCAAAGGCAGGGGAGGTGCGCACGCTGGAGGGGGAAGGTGCTACGTTTGGGCTCAGTGGGCGGGCGAGCCAGAATGTCCAAGCACCGACTGACTGAGAAGTGAACCTCTTCTTCCCCCTCCTCAGACACCAGGCACTAAACAGAGCTGAAGGTAAATACCCTGAGGGCAAAGACGGCTTTGTTTCTGTAGCTCTAAGATGTCCTGTAATACTTGGTATTACTGTGTCTTTGGACCAGACCCTCCAGATGGTGGGAACTTCCTTGGTGAGGAAACTCCCTTCACCAGTGCAGACTGCATCTGTGTGTGTTAGAGGCAAGCCTCGCACCCTGCTCTTTCCGGCTTGGAGGCTACCACTCCAGCCACTAGGCCTCACTGCCTCTGATACACAATCACACAGTCACACAGGACACGTAAGAACATGGCTCTTTCACAACTCCCAGAGATAGCTAGCACAGGTCTTATTATCTTTATTTTTCATGTGAAAGAGCTGAGACACAGAAGGGAAGGGTTTCATCCAAGGTCACACAGCTTGGGCTGGGATGAAAACCCAGGGTCAGGAGACCTGGGTTCTAGTCTTAGCTCTGCTCTGTGACTGTCAGCCTGACTCTTGGAAGTCATTTTCCCCCTCTGGGCCTCAGTTTCCTCATCTGCCAAATGGGATGAACCCCTATCCAACCTCCCTACCTACTGTGAGGAGGTGGAAGTGACCTTTCAGGGCCTTGAGTGTCAGTCTCCTTCTCTTCATGCTACCTGAGGGCAGGGACTAGGATTTCCCCTCTTCTCCCATCCCTGCTTCCTGGTAGATTGGAACTCGGGGCCCAGGCCGTACCAGGCATCAACACTAGTGCCACCTCACCCTCAGCTAAGAACAAGTAATGTGTCTGAGGCATTTCAAGGATAATGTTGGCACAGTTGCCCTGGAAGATCGGTGCCCCTTCCCCTTTCTTCCTTCAGGGACCAATTCAGGCTCCACCTCCTCCCTGAAGTCCTCCTGGATCAGAAGGAAGCGGTTTCTTCCTCCCTTAAACTTCTCTTAGTTCTCTGACCCAGCAAGGCCCCATTAAGGTCCCAGATGTAGGGCAGAAAGGGGCCCTCTTGTCCAACCCCTCTCACTTTACAGAAGGGCCTGAGGTGCAGAAGTTATGGGACTTGCCCAAACAAGGTCACACGGGGAGCATGTGTCAGGGCTGGGCCTGGAGCCCAGGAGGCCTTGGTGTCTTCCAGCTCACCAAGACTCCAAAGCCAGTGCTTTCCCCACCATGAAACACAGGGGCCTACATGTGGCAGCAGATGTAAGTGCTGCACTCCACACTGAACTCCAGTGAGCATCCTCCCCGGTGGGCATAGTTTAAGAGAAACCTGGAACCCCATTCTAGAACCACCTAGATCAGGCTGCACAACCTGTGCCCTGCCAAAGAGGAAAACAGCCTCTACATTGTTTGGTGGGCCACCTAAAATCCTCTGGTGCGCCTGTGGGCCAAAGTTTGGACATGCCTGACCTAGATCCTTAGAACAAGAGGTTTCTAGGCACCCACAGCCCACCCTATACCTGGGCAGCAGTCCCTTCTAAAGAGCACATGCTCTGGAATCTGAGGACTCGAGTTCCAATCCTGCTTCTCAGGCTTATTACATACCTTGGGCTTTGGACATCACCTTCAGCGTTTCTTAAATGGTGGGTCTCAACCCCCAGTGCGGGAGACCCACCGTTTAAAAGCACTGAAGGGGCAGAGTGGAAAAAAGTTTGTTTAAGAAGCCCTGCCCTAGAATCAATACTCCTCTGTACCTTAACTAGGCTCAGCTCAAAGGCACTTCTTACTTCCAGGCAGGCCATTCCATTTTGGGGTAGCTCTAATGGGGCAGGCTGGGTGGCCAAGTGGATAGAGCACCCGGCCTAGAGTCAGGAAGACTCCTCTTCCTGAGTTCAAATCAGCCTCAGACACTTCCAAGCTGTGTGACCCTGCACAAGTCATTTAACCCAAGAAAGCCAAAGGGGTCAAGTTGGACACGACCGAACAACTCCTACTAATTACCAGTCAGTTCTTGCCGACCTCAGGACTCAACCTGCCCCGCTCACTTCCCCCTCTGCCTTCTGGGGCCAAGCAGAACCAGGTTCTCTAGGACAGCCTGAACATCCCTGAAGACAAGGACCACAGCCCCATGGTCCCCTCCTCCCTCGGCCTTCTGTGGTCCAGGCTAAACACCCTTAACTATCTCAACTGACCCCACAGTAAACTCCGGCAAAGGCAGCTGCTCGGGGGTCACACTTCGCTTTTGTCTCTGCATCCTAGGTACCTCCTGTCACTGCTTACTGAATCGAATTGCAAGTATCAAGGATCTCTAATTGTCAGAGGCTTTAAGAGCTGGAGGAGATCTTAGTCCAACCAGTGCATTTTACAGATGGGGGAAACTGAGGCTCAGAGCAGAAGGCACCTAATTCCACCAGGGTCAGATGGCCCCCACTTCTGGTACTCCTGGGACCCCACCCCCCCAATCCACACCACTCAGCTGAGTGTCCTACCTTGAGAGAATAATCCACATGGAGAATTCGGCACTGCAGAATGGAAGGTCCCACGGGAGGAATCTTCAGTGCTCGCCCTTGCCAGAGCTCCCGTTTCCCCGCGGCGACGGGCTCCCCCACAATGCTCGCCACCACCGATCTCTTCTCCTTCCGGGCCCCACGGGCGACAAAGGTCTGGGTCTGGATAATGGCGGCCTTGGGCACAACTGGCCTGCTAGTGCCATTGTCTATCTCGGCAAAGACGGGGATGACCTCACCTGGGAGGGAGAAGATGGATGACGGCATGAGGAGGGAATGAGGAGAGCCTGGGGTAAGAGTCTGGCCCCCCCCCTAATTAGGCTCACAATGATGGAATGTTAGTTAGTTAGACTTTCCAAAACAGGGGATCTGATCCCGCAGCAGACCCTAACCAAGTCACTGAATCTTCTGTTAAAATGAGGGGGTTTAACTCTCCAGGGTCCCTTCCAGCTTTGAATCGATGTCCCCGTTTTACAGATGGGAAATCTCTGTGGTTCAGGGAGAAGGGGAATTTGCCAAGGCCTTGGGCCAAATCAGAGCCAGAAATGGGGAAGGGGTGAGGGGACAAAGATGAAGTGGTCTGTACTCTCCCCGTGGCCCCTTTCCTTCGGGGACCGACCTGTACAGGGAGCTCCTCCCGCCCCCACAGAATAGTAGCTACACCACACGGTCTAGTCTAGACCAGCTTGCTCAGCTGGCTGTCACTGGCCCCCTCGGCAGATGGTTAAGATAAAAGATAAAGAAGGAGCAGCCTCCCTTTGGACTTCCCCACCAGGATTCAGGTGAACACCCAGTGCCCCAGTTACCTGGGGTATAGCCTTTCCTGTCAATCTTGGCTGTGATGGAAACTGGGCCTCGATTGCAGTACCAGGCTCGAGCCATCTTTTCTTTCACACCTGCCTGAGGCTCCTGTGAAAAAGTAAAACCCAAAAAGCAAAAATAAACAAGAGCTTATCCACACCAAAGCCACACCTGCTTCTACACTGGAAGGGCTGGGGTGGGTGCAACCTCTCTGTACCTTTTCTCATCCCAAGAAACTCTGGCTGGTTCAGACCAGTGTTTGTGAAGGGGCAGCCACAGTGCTGGGCACTGGGGCTACAGACCCAAATGGAACTGTGCCTGCCTGCAATGGGCTTACGCTCTATTGGGAGGAAACGTGAGCTCTTCCAAGGAAGGGTCAGCTCCACTTGAGTCTGCAGCCCCAGCAGCTGGCGAAGAGTAGGCGCTTAAGAAATGGCTTTTATGGGGCAGCTGGGTGGCGCAGTGGATATAGCACCGGCCCTGAAGTCAGGAGGACCTTCGTTCAAATACGACCTCAGACCAAACACTTGACACTTACTAGCTGTGTGACCCTGGGCAAGTCACTTAACCCCAACTGCCTCTAAATAAAATAAAGAAATGGCTTTTCTTACTCCCAGTGCTGCCTGGGGCACTGATGGGTGAAGTGACTTGTCCAGAGTTAGCCAGTCAGTACGGTCAGGAGTCCTCCTGGCTTTAAGGCTGCCTCTAGCCATGCTCCACATAAACCCTCTGCAAATGGTTTTTCCAAAGTCCTGCTCTGTGACTCACTGGCTGTGGGGACCACAAGTTCCCTCCCCTCTCCCCACCTCTGTTTTAACGAGGGGATGGGACAAGATTCCCTCGATCAGTCTATGACCTATTATTATTTCACTTCATCCCATGAGGTAGAGATATGATCACCCTTTGGGCAGGTGAGGAAACTAAAGCCAGAGAGTTGGACGTTTTGCTCAAGGTCATATGATGAGTTCCTTAAAGATCCTCCTTTAATGCAGCTTGTTGGCATAGTTCAGGGCACCCAGGGTATGCAAAGTCAAGGCCAAGAGCCGGGAATGGGTGTACTCCCTAGACTAGTACCCAAAGGTGGCACTGGAAAAGAGGGGTGGCTAGCCTCCAGGACAGAAGGGGGAGAACGGCCTCAGTGATGTTACTTGTCCACTGACATACCAGCAGGGCAGGAGTGTTGATGTCGATGGGCTCGATCACTGTGAACTCTTTTCTGGCCCGTTTGGCTGTGCCCCAGGGTCTATGGAGCTTGGCTTTCACACAGTATCGAACACTCCCATGCTTCCCTTCAAATGAGGTCACCAAAGTCCTAGCCAGCAGAGATGTAGGTAAGAATCTGGGGGTGGAAGGCACTGGGAAAGAACTTACAGGAAACCCCGTCTATCTATACTTGGTTTCTTAGGAAGGGCTGAGCATGAACGTACATGTGGGCTGTTGGGGGAGACTGGGTAGCCCAGAGAGAAAGGAAACAGAGGGGAAAGAGACAGAGAGAAAGATGGTCATGGAAGAAAGAGAGAAAAGGGGGTTGGTGAGAGGACAGACACAGAAAGAATGAAAAGGGATGGGAGAAGAAGAGGGGAGAGGGGAGGGAAGCAGCCACAGATGGGAGGACACTAGGTGGTACCACCCGCAGAGGCCCTTTGGTTTTTTTAGTACCCACAGTAATAGGTTGGGGTGTCAGTCCCCGGGTCCCATCAAGAGCTGCCCAGCTCGGACACTTACGTGGGCAACTGGAAGCTGAAGGGGAACTCGTGCCTTCCCGGCTGTTAAGGTAGTAGCGTCCCCAGAGTCTGAAAGTCGGAAGAGATTGAGGGGGGGTTCGGTGAGGTTTGTGAGGGGGGCGGGGCTGGAGAACTGTAGGGCAGGCTAAGGGACCTTAATTAGGACCGACTCTTCCCCAGACGAACAAAACCGACCAGGGAGTGATCCGCTCAGACTGCCAGGATCGTCTTCATCCGCACTCCAGGGGAGGAGAGTGCAGAGGCTACTGGGTAGGCTGGCTGCTCCAGGTGGTCGCAGCCGCTGCTCCGGCGCCCTACGGTGCGCCCCACCCCCATCCCCAGGGTTCTGGGCGTCAGCGCCGGTGTGGGGGGGCCGTACCTGGGGCCAGCAGCATGTCGCGGTGGTTGACCAGCTCCACCTGCTCGCTGTAGCTCTGCGTGTAGGCGGTGCTGGAGCCAGCGCTGCGGGACTCGGTCCAGTGCACCCGGGCGCAGCCCAGGGCTTGGAGATGCAGGGCTCCCACCCGCGCCGCGGCCGCCAGCTCCAGCAGCACCGTCCCGGACACGGCCTGGCCGCCGCTGAAAGCGGGCTCGGGCTCGGGCCCGTCCAGCAAGACGGCGAAGCGCTTCACCTTGTCGAAGATCATCGCGGATACAGGAGATCGGCGAGAGTGGGGCGGAGGCCACAGCACGCACCTGCACGTACCAGAAGCTGCCTCACTCGGAGGCTCTACTTCCCGAGGGCGCCTGCAGCACCTTTTATGTGGCGAGGGGCGGGCCGAGAAGAGGCCTGCGGCCAATGGCGGCGCCGCTCCGCGAGCCCCTGAGGAGGCGCGGCCAATGGCGCGGCGGCGGAGGCGTGGCTAACGGCGGGGCGCGGCGGCGAAGAAAAACAAACACGTGGGAGAGCCGTCCCCTTCCCCCGCCCAGGTGGAGGGCCCGGGATCTCCGGCCGCTGGGTTCCTGCGTGCCTAGCGGCTCGTCGCGCACCCCAGGACCCCAGGCCTCCGGAGGCCTCGGTGCTACCCCACCCCTCACCTACACACCAACAACCAGAAGCCTCTAGGGCCCCGACTGCCCTTCCTTAGCTCGAGGGAGCGGCCCGGGCAAAGTCCAGCCCGTTGGACCCTCCCCCCCTTCAGTTATAAAGGGTTGGAATTACATCTCAATTAAAGAGCCTGAGGGATCTTAGAACCAGCCCCTCACCCCCAAACCACGCCCAATAATAAAGAGGCCAATTTATTGCTTTAAAGTCGGCCGAGCCCCTTAGAGCCGGTCTCGTCGCTCTAGAACCTCAAAACCATTCTCTGAGACGGGGTCTGTCCACGTTTTACAGAGAGAACGCAAAACTCTGGGGGCTGGCGAAGAAAGTGGCTTGTCCCTGGTCACACAGCTAGGAATAAAGGGTCGGAGGAAGAATCTAGTCCAGTGCCCTCAAATGGGGAAACTGAGCCCCGGGAGGATTAAGGGACTGATCCAAGGTCACACAGTAAGGTAATGGAACCAGGAGCGCTAGAACCCAGAAGTCCAGCCTCCCGACCCCTGGGGCTTTTTCAGTTTAATATATTTATTGAGCGCCAAGGAGTCCGTGGCCCTGGGCCAAGATTCACTACCTTTCTACCTATCCCCGCCCCCCTCCAACCCTCAGGGCTGAACTTCTTTAGGACTGTTCACTAATTGGGGGTGGCGGAAAGAGCTTGTGGCTCGAAACAAAAGATGGTGCCCTGGGACAAGTTACTTTTCATCTTCGGAGATCACTTTCCGCACCTATAGCTCTGACATTCTGTGTTCTAAGTAAGGATTAGGCATCAGTACAGGTTGGAAACCGTTTTCCCAGGCGCTGTGCTGAGCTTTTTAGAGATGGAACTATTGGGCAGAGCTGGGAATTTCCCCACAGCTTAGAGCAGGGAGGGAAATTGTGGAGGATACACTCACTCCTCAACCCCCCTCTTCCCATCCCCCCCCAAGGAGCTAGTTAATCAGTCAGTTTAACAAAGTGAAGGGGAAACAAGGCTGGGATTTCCTCAATTACAGAGTCCCTGAGCAGAAAGTGAATAAAGAGGCCTTCTAGACCTTCTCCTACCAGAACCAGAAGGCTCTTCACGGCCTCCTGAGAGGGGGAATTCCTTACAAGACTCCTCTTTACAGACTCCTCCTTACAGACCTCCTGGGAAGAGGAATCCACCAGTGCCTTCGGGTAGAAAGAGCACAGATACATCTGGACCTTGGGTAAGTCACTTACCTTGCCCGGGCCTCAGTTTCCCTCTCTGTAAAACCAGAGAGTATGATCAGATGGTCTGGGAAGTCCCTTCTTTCCCTCTCTAAAAAACAATGATCCTATAAGCCTTTCTGGACCTTCCTCTATTTACATCGTTTTATTTTCATTTCAGGGATCATCCTAAGTGGAGTGCTCCAGTACAAGAACTGACTTTGCTTTATGTATTTGTAGTCCCAGGCTTTCCCTAGGGAGGGACCACAGTGGTCACCTAGTATAACCCATACACAGAAGGAATCCCCACAGAAAAATACTGGCCAGATTGCCGTGCCTGCTTTGCTTCAAATCCTCCAAGGAAAGGGAACCCACTGTCTCTCAAAGTCACCCATTCCACTTTGGTTGTTGTTCAGTTGTTTCATTCTTGTCTGACTCTTTGTGACCCTTCTGGGGTTTTCTTGGCAGAGATACTGGAGTGGTTTGCCATTTCCTTCTCTGTCTCATTTTACAGAGAAGGAAACTGAGGCAAACAGGGTGAAGTGACTGGTCCAGGATCACACAACTAGCCAGTATCTGAGGCTGGATTTTAATTCAGGAAGATGTCTTCCTGACTCCAGGACTGGCAGGCACTCTGACCACTGACCCCCTTTGCCCCATTCCATTTTAGGCAGGCTCTGATGGTTAGGAAGTTTTTACTGACATCAAGTCAAAATTTGTCTTTCTGTAACTCCCCCCTACTGTTTTAGTTCCGCCCTCTCCGGTGGAGGAGAATAAAACTAATTTCTCTTCCTTAGCGGGGGAAGAGGGGGGTGTGCTGCTTCTGTTCCCTCTCCCACAGCCCTTCCCTCCCTCCCCCCGACATCAGTCTGTCTGTGAGAAGGGAAGGAGAGAATAAGGGCGTTGCATTGGCAGGGACACATGGGGCTGGAATCCTCCTGGGAGAGGTCCTGGGGGGGGGAGATCAGGAGGTCAGGAAGGCTCCTCTTCCCAAGAGAGCTTGCCTACTGGCCCAGGCCCAGGTGTGGGGGCCTCAGCTGTGAGATCAGCCCAGGCATGGCCAGTATTGGAGAGGCAGACTTCCACCCACCCATCTAGTTGGGCAGGAGCAGAATGTTCCCATCTTTCTAGAAAACTGGTACATCGTTGTTTAAAGCTGGGACCCAGGATGGGACTCCTCACCCTAAGGTCCCCATCCATTATGAGTGTGTGTGTGTGTGTGTGTGTGTGTGTGTGTGTGTGTGTGTGTGTGTGTGTGACCATTTGTGCCTAGGAGGAGGAATGACCTTATGTACTGGTGACAGTGAATTTGAGCTTATGTTTGAGTAAGAGAGGGAGGGAAAGAATGTGAAAGAGTGAGAGTGACCTTCTCTTCTTTGCAGGGGGTGAGGGCTATGGGTACAGAATTCTGCAGACACTGTCAGACACTTGGGCTTTTTGTCTGGCTGTCCCCCATGCCTGGAGTATTTTCCTTCCTCATCTCTGCCTTCTGGCTTTCCTGGCTTCCTTCAAATTCCAGCCAAAAGTCTCACCTTCTACAGGAAACCTTTCCCAATCCCCCTTAACTCCGCTGATTACTGCTGATTTCTCCTCCACGCAACATGACAGTCAAGTTACAATGGCTGGATGGTTGGGAGGTGTATGTATTTGGAAATCAAGATAATGGAAACATAAATGTGTTGCCCCTGGTCACATAGCTAGTAAGAAAGGGTCAGAGGAAGAATCTTGCAAGAGAGATATTAAAGAGTAAGCATGAGAGAAAGAGAATCTGAGTCATCAGAAGGCTCTGCCTTCAAATCTCAGCTCTAAGATTTTTGCTTTGCTGTACTTGCTCTAAGATTTTGCTTTGTTTTGCGTGTTTTGCTTCATTTCCTCATTTTGGTGGCGACAGCATGGCAGAAGGGGAAAGGGCTCCAGGCTGGGAGCCAGAGGACCTTAGTTTCCCAGGATTCTGTCACTCTTTGCCTATGTGACCCTGGGCCTCAGTTTCCTCATATGTGAAATGAGAGGGTTGTATTAGACAGCCCCTGAGATCCTTTCTAGTTTTAGAGCTAGTATCCCTATGATTCTCTTTTGAAAAAAAATGAGGATGTAGAAGGGCTGGAGTCAGGAAGACGAGTTCAAATCCAGCCTCATACACTTACTTGTGACCCTGGTTAAGTCACTTAACCTCTGTTTACCTTCATTTCCTCATCTGTAAAATGGGGATAATAATAACACCTACTTCCCAGGATTGTTGTGAGGATCCCATGAGATTACATTTGTGAAGTGCCTGGCACACAGTAGGTGCTACATAAATGTTAGCGATGATGATGATGATGATGATGGCTCATTTCTAAAGAGCTTTAAGGCTTACAAAGTTTGTGATGTCATTTGAGCCCCATAACAGCCTGGTCAAGCAGTTAGTACAGTTGTTGTTGGTAATTGGAGGCTCCTAGGACTCACTCACCTCAGGTCATGAGTCACAGAAGTGGGATCTGAACCCAGGTTTCTGACTCCAAGCCTAATGAATGGTCTTTCCACTGCAGCTCTTTTTCTTCTAAGAGTAGGTTCTTAAAGATTGAAAGAGACTGAGTGAGGAAGTGCAGGAGCAGAGGGATTTGAATGCAAGGGTAGGGAGGGTATCAGCTTTCCCTCCCAGGATGCAATCATTTCCCTTGCTGACCCCTTGTCCTGTTCCGGCACCAGCTTTTGTGGGTTCTGGTGACTCACCTGCCCTAGTGCCCATGTCCACCCACTTCCCCTCCTTCCCTTCTTCCTCCGCCTTCTCCTTTGCTTCCTCTCTCTCTCTCTCTCTCTCTCTCTCTCTCTCTCTCTCTCTCTCTCTCTCACTCTCTGCTGGGGGACTGGAAACCATCAGGATGAGAGTCCCTACATTGCCTGGGGCCTGGCTCTGTCCTCAGGAAGCTGGGCTTGGAGGAAGGGTGGGGGAGAAGGGGAGGCTCAGCCCGATCTCTTCCCCCAGAGCCAGAGCCAGCCAGCCTCCTGCTGTGGGGGGGGTGGCAGAGGGCCATGGAGGCTGGGGGCAGGGCTCGATGGAGCAGGGCACAGGAGGGGGGAGGGTGAGATCAGACTGTACTTTCAGGGAACACGCGTGAAGGAGTTTCAAGAGATAAACATGCCCCTGGTCCAAGAGAGGCATGGACCCCCTCTGACCTCCCTCCCAGGAGTTTGAGGAATGGCCAAGATGTCTCCACTAAGGAGACAGAAAGGACATAGCACGGCCAACTACAGATTGGAGAAGGGCCAAGGGACTTGAACCCAGGTCTGACCTCCAGGGGCTCTCCTCATTCTATCAGACTGTGTCTTTGGAGTGGAAGGAGAGCTGAGTTCCAATCCCTCCTCAGCTCCCTTCTCACCACGTGCATGTACAAACTCAAACAAAACACACTTCCTTTCTCTGGACCTCAGCTTCCTGATCAGTAAAATGGAGGAGTGGGTAACCAGAGGATGCTTCCAGCTCTGAATCAAACGATTTCTCTGTGCTGGGGGTGGGGGTTAGGGTGGCAACCAGGGAAGGGGCAAAGAAGGAAGCAGGCCCTCTGAGGGCATTTCCTGGGGCTGCTGGACTGGAGGGGGTGAGCCCACTTTCAGGAAGGCAGTCAGTCTACTGGCCCTGTTTCTGAGTCCTCATGCTGCCCACTGGGCCAGGTGGCTACCCCCACCCACCAATCTGGCCAGGCATCCCAGAGGGATGGAAAAATACAGCCAGGGCTGATCCCTTTCCAACCCCACCCTTCCTCACACTGGGACACCCAGTCACAAGTTCAGCCTGGCTCCTGCCCAGGACACAGAGGTCAGACTTGGACCTCCTCGGTCCTCACCACCTGTCCCCACCCACTCCACTGGACACCTGGAATAGTCTGACTGTGCACTTGTAGTGACACCTACTGGGGGAATCGGGAAGGTGCTGTGGAACCCCCTGGCATGGAATTCAGTTACTGCAAAGTAAACCACTTGATGTAAATGGCAGAGCTCGGTCCTGGGGAAGGGTCAGTGTTTTAGGAAAGAAATGGTCCCCTCCTTGGAGCACACAGTCAGAAACTCAGATAACCTTTGATTCTGTGGCAGGCACAGTCTCTAGGGGAAGCCCTAGGGAGGAATCTAGTTCCCAAAAGGCTTACGGGAGTGGGATAGAAATCAGGGAAATCTTTCTGGAGGAGGTGGAAATGGTGTTGAGCTCCAATTTAAAGCAAAACTTCTTAACTGTTCTGTGTGTGTGTGTGTGTGTGTGTGTGTGTGTGTGTGTGTGTGTGTGTGTGTCTGTGTGTGTGTGATGGACCCCTCTGGGAGTCTTGGGATCCCTTTTCTGAATAATCTGTGTAAATGCATTAACAAATACGTAGGATTACAAATGAAACCATTTTTATTGAAATACAGTTATCAAATGAATGGTTTTTAAGAACCAAGTCCTCTGATTTAAAGGATGGTTAGGAATTTAACAGGAGAAGAAAAAAATTGAAGAATATCTAAAATGGAAGGGCCCTTAGGAAACAGAGAGCTAGAATGAACTTACAACCCAGAATGTCAGGGCTGGGAGGGTCCTTAGGACCCAGGGTATCAGAGCTGGGAGGGCCCTTACAGCACAGGATGCCAGAGCTGGGAGGGCCCTTAGAACACAGGATGTAAATGAAACCTCAGGAACTCCTCAATGTGGACATGCCCAAGTGGTCACCCTTGGCCCTTTCCCTCTGATCTTTTCTCCCTAAACAGTTTATGTATATGACTCCCACATCTCCGTGATCTCTCATTGGCTCTCCAGACCTGCATCTCCAGCTGCCTTCAGGCCACTTCCACCTGGATGTCCTGCCAACATCACAAACTCACAATGCCCAATAAGAGTTATCCTTCCCCTACACTTGCTCCTAGGCAGCTAGCTGGCACGGTGTATAGAGCGCCAGGCCTGGAGGTAGGAAGACTCATCTTCCTAAGTTCAAATCTGACCTCAGACACTTCCTAGCCGTGTGACCCTGGGCAAGTCACTTAATCCAGTTTGTCTCAGTTTTCTCATCTGTAAAAT